CTCTAATTACATATTTAAATTCGGAGAGACATTTGTGCTTAGCAGTGAATGTTGAAAATTCTAACGACTTGATAAATAAATATAGAATCCCTGATAATCTAATAACAATAAACATTATTTGTTTAATTTTTAAGAATTCTTACGACAAACTAAATATATTTGTCGGATAAAGCTATGTTATATCAAATTAGAAATTGTATTTAGCTCGGAGTCTCCTTTATAATCAGTTTGGACTTTCACTTTGGACGTTAATGTAATACGAGGCGCGCTGCCGTCACACCAGCGGACAGCGAGTGCCGCAAGTGGCGTCAAGGTCGGCAGGGGCAGCGCGGACTATTTAGTTGCGAACATACTAATTCGTGCTTATTTAAAAATAGACTTAAATAACTTGAACATTCGACTAAAATTTCCTAAAATAAAAAAAAAAAACAACATGGCACAAACGTTCAGAATCATCCGCAAACGACGTGACGCAGCTTGTGAGAACTTGAATTGGCAACTAATCCAATAAGCAAGTTGATATAAATATAAACTAGCCCCGCTCGCCGCTAGTCGCTCTCCGCTTGCGTTCGCTACCCAGCGACCGACCTACAATCTAATTCACTTTTAAACTCGACTGAGTGTAGAGTAATTCTACTAAATTGAGTTCGGACCAACAAAGAACTCCCGCGAGCCGTTTATTTGCTATTGAGTTATCTCCGGCGCTCGTTTACTGTTTCTCGCTCTTCGTTTGATTGCGCTTATTGTTTTTTGTTGCATAATACGAATACAAATAAAGGATTAGGAAGGCGCTATTCAGGAAAATTGGGAGCTTGAATTTATGTCCAACGTAGATAATATAAATAATAATTTCTACATTGGTGACGTTTTTTTTTTTTTCCAGGCACTTGACCTAAAACTTATAAGTACTCATACAGTAACTGGGCAGGCTGATGTGTTGCATGACATATACTATTTTGACAACAAACTACCTGCTTATATACAAAGATGTTTACAAAAATTATCGCATTGCATTCATTTGAACAATTGAAAGCTCACATAATAATATATATATATATATCTTTTTGGAACGTAACAGATATATAAGCAATTAATATTAGATTAATTATTCACAGTTTATAAACTCAGGAGACTTCCTACGTGAACTACGATAAAAAGTACGTCATGTAAGTATTAAAATAGTATATTTGGTTATAAGTGCCTTTTATATGTTGGTAGTGCTTGTACGAGTACGTACAGGGGCGGCGACGGCGACGGCGGCGAGGCGGCGGCCACCGCCGGCGGGCTCATAAAAACCTAATCTTTATATTTTGTACGCAGAGTTATGGTGTCAACGGAGCGCCGTACGCCAACATCATCAGGCGCGGATTATTCGCCTCGCGCACTAAGAGGCTTACGTGAAATTTATGTTTGTTATTTTAATAGCGAGTGAGCGTGCAGTCCCCGGACGGCGGGTGCTCGAGCTCGCTTCTTGGCCTGCGGTCCGCTACCGCTATTGACTTGACACCAAGGTATATTAAAATAATATTTTATGTATCTTATCAGCCGTTAATTATCCACTGCAGAATATAGCCTCCCCCATAAGAGGGGTTTTGTCAGTAGTTGCCACGATTAGCAGGCTTGTTGACAACCGCAGTTTGGTATTTAGTGAATTTTTGAAGTGGGACGCCGCTGCCCATCCCTCGACGCTAAGCTCCCTTTGTCGCCTCTTACGACTCTCGCGGGATAAATGGAGTTACATAATACTGTTATGCATTAAATCAAGTAATTACATAATGTATTTACTAATATGGAGATGTGCTCCAGCAACATCGAATGCTTTTCCGCTACAGCGAACAATAATGTGGAAGCGCGCGTTCACGTCATGTCTAACGTTCTATGGTATAACAGCATCTATTTTTGAAATAACATCGACATATGAAGTGTTTTAGAAAAATTTTACGCGTAATATTATAGTAAGTATTCCTTGACAGGAATCATATTTCAACATTTTAAAAGTTATGCGAAAATAGAACTAACTCGACGTCATTCGAAAAAAGTTGCTTGATAAAAAAAATCTTATATCTTTCTCGAATCCAAATTGGGACTCGGTCGGATTAATATTATTATTTATTAAAATAATATGCTAGCTAGGACAAAGTTGCGAGTGATTCGCAACATCGCGTAACCAGGATATATTGATTGACCGGAATAAACAGCAACCTACGTTCTTCTGTATAACAAAGTTCACAACGATTGGTTGAGCCGTTAACGCGTCAAGAAGTAAAAAACAAATAAATTTACTATCAAATGTATTAATACAAATATTAGGTAGGATTACCTTAAGATACCAAAAACAATCTCAATTTCAGTCTTGAATATGAGAATTCTACATTTTATTTTATTTATTTATTTACACTTTATTGCACCGAGTAAAAAGAGAAATAACAAATACAGTAAATATTAATGAGAAGTGATACAAAAGGCGGCCTTATCGCTAAGCAATCTCTTCCAGACAACCTTTGGGTAGAGGACATTGAGAAAAAGACAAAGAGTAGGACATTAAATATACTTATACACAATCATTTAATTTTGTCGAGACCCCGAGTAGCATGCTATCATAATATGTTGCAGCACTGTCTCTAAACTTCATTGCGAATAAAACTAGTTGTAATTTAAACTGTTGATAATAAAACGAACTAGGGCACGCTGAACGGAAAGTTGCCACCGGTCGAGCGCTGTCGAGAGTAGTGCGGTGCTCGGCTCGCGCGCTGCACTTGGCCGCACGCTGACCAAACATTTGGTTATTTGTATCATTCTCAGTAACAACGTGACCGTGTGTCACTAATGCCGACTCTCCGTCCCCAACTCATGGCACTGACTCGGAAATAGTGCTCTAAAAGTAAACGAAATAAAATAAATGTATTCTTCAATATCAGGCTGATGTGCCGTAGGAGAGGGGTGAGGGGTGAGGGGGGTTCCGAGCAGAGCTCGCTGCGAATCTTTATAGTTAATTCCTGGTTAATTCGTCACGATGGACTAATTGACCTGAATGTCTTTACAATTAGGCCAGCGTACACCAATAGCGCAAGCAGGGTTAATGTTTAATTTATATTCACACAAATCAACCGCAAAACACTGTCAGTACGTTTGTTACAGGAATCTATGAGGTCAGAGACTAAAAAACAGATACAATTTCTAAAACTGATTATTTTGGTGCCTATTGATTTTTTTTTTTTTTTTTTTAATAGGTGATAATGGAATGGTCACTTCACCCGCGCCACCGGTATACACTGGCGGAGCATCAGCGAAGGACGATTTTTTTTTTTAGGGTGAACTACGTGAAAGTCGACCTAACAGGGCATATTGCTATCAATGGGACTGTCAAACTCCATTAACAATCCCTTTTCCCCCAAGATGTACCATACCGTCTGCACGCACATATACGTACATTTGTTATGTGCGTGGTCATGGTAGTCCACCAGGAACCGAGCTGGCCGACAGTCGGCAGCCAGACCAGTCAGCTACACCGACAAGTCATCCTTCAACATTTAATTAAAAGGGCAATCGAATCGACTGCCGTGAAATTTGAACTCCACTCAAACTGTTTATTAGAAAATGGCAAATACTTTAGGAACAATGAGCCCGCGCCGAATCTTAATTAAAGCATCCATTACAATGCGATTTATTAAGTGCTCGTACACGGCTCCGTCTTCACGATTTTTTGTATATTATTATATTTACATAATAATATACAAAATGACATTTTGTTGAAGATACATCAATCGAATGAACAACTTACACTTGTCCAACTGCGGACCCGAGTGCCGTGTCATTCAGTAGTAACTAAAGAAAAAATAACTTTAAATTGACTTTTACTATTTGATGTAATATTAATTATAATTAAGGCTCTTGTAACACGTTACGATGGCGTACATCGTCACAAGCAAAGCTCTACACTCTTGTCCGTATATTTCATTGAAATTTGGAAAATGTTGTTAGAAATGTCCGGATAGTATTAGTCATGCTGAAGCTGCAGGTGTATTATGAACACAGCGGAACACTATTGAGACTGATTCGGTTACGTTCTTAAACCGAGGTTCTATTGATTGTTTGTGCGTATTTAAATAACATTACAATGTATATAGATAGCTATACGTACGTACTAACTACCCACAACTATATCTGACCTCTGAACCAAATTATTGGTTTTAACACTTAGCAACATTTCGTAACAAAATTATAATAATAATTCATGATGAGGGTTAAATGTCCTTTATGTGTTGCGTGGTCGGTCACATGGTATTTGAAATATTTTGTAACATTTCACAAGTAATTTAGCAGCGCGGGTTAACATGTGTGTGCGGGGCTCGGTGGGCTCCGGGCGGCGGGCGCGGAGGGGGGTACGTGTGTGCGTGTGGTGCGGGGCGCGGGTCACTAACTACATTCCACGTGACCCTCATCACTCCACACAAATGTAATTTGCCAGCGGCCACCCGCACACCACCGCCGGCACCTCCATTTCGCGGCTCCTGCAGTACAGCCACCAGCCGCCAGCCGCCAGCCGTCAGCCGCCAACCGCCAACGACCACCACAACGTGCTCTTCTCACCTACACTACGCGTCCATTAGTAACAGCTGGACGCGCCATGACAGTTGGGAAAATGTTTAGTTTCACCGGCAGAACACTTCGTTAAAAGGATGCTAATGTTTTCTATTTCATCGGGTTACGCTAGAGACGTAACTGTGTGATGCTGCCTCGTAAGAGAGCTAAACTAAAAGGTAATATTACAATGTTCAATGGTTTATTCGAATCTACCTTGTATTTCGTATAGTGGCTGGTGAGTGCCAGTGTGTGCGCAGAAGAATGAAGGCGGAGAGGTAAGTGGCTCCAAGACCGAAGAGGTGACTCGATCCAATTAGCGATCGAGAGCGAGCTCATCCTGCGCGCTCGCTTTGTGAATAGTCGCACGCTAACTAGCCGCGCCCGCCCGCGCCCCGCGCCCCGCGCCCCGTGCCCTGCGCCCCGCGCCCCGCGCACCGCTGCAGCGTGCAGCGGCCTAATAAGATGCCTCTCGATGTCAAGTGAACTATTGGCTTACACTAGCTCCACTAGCACCACTCACCATTATCAACGAAATCCGTACTTTGTTTTTATATCTACCCTCGGGCGTAATTAGCTAGACTTGTTAATTTTTTTTTTTAATTTCTTTTACTGCAACATTCGTTAGGTACCAATATAATAAAGGTAGGAATAATACTCAATTCTATTTTATAATAATAGGTACTGTGCTTTTACTATCTACACGTCAAGACTTTTATGAGACAGTAGAGAGAACCCAGTGTCCGCAATCCTACTTCAATAAAAGTGATCATACAGATACAAGGAGACAATATTTAATTTTTGATAAGATTCGGGGGTTAAGAATTTACGAAAAACTTTCACAAAAATAATAAACGAATCATTCAGAACTTTTTTATTGCAATCTTATACAACATTATACGAGTACAATGCGAGTTCTTAATCGATATTTAAACGATTCGAAGGACGAGCCTTAAACAGCGGCGAAAACAAAAACATTGAATGTACTTAAATATAAGAGGCGCGTGTCGGCGTCGGAGCGCCGACCGCGGCCGCCGCGCCGCATCCACACCGGCGGCGAGGCGCGCCGCTCAACTGTTCCCGGGCGAAATTGAATGAAATGCAAATGAATGAAAATGATATTCGTAATAAATTCAAATGAAGGCGGCTCGCTTTAAATTCAATTTTTGTTAGCAGCTCTCGTTATTAGCATGAGAGCGGCGCGGCACGGCGCGGCGTCCGTCACGATGTCTCAAGGATTCGATTTTAATACTTCTCATTGTAGTGCCAAGTTAATATAACAACTCACACATATAGATTTTTTTTTATTTTTATTGAAAATATATATTTGTGATTTGATAAAAATTTAATGTAATCATTCGTAATTATCTGAACCAACTCAAACATGAAAGTTATTTTACATGCCTAATTCAAAGTGTTTAGTAACGTAAACGCCATGTTACATGGAGGCTGTTTAATTCTGTAATATCGTCATAGTCATAGAATACTGACGGATCTGACAAAGATTACATATATAGATCCGTCAGTATTCTACGACTATGACGATATCCTTGCTGTATCCTGTGCGACTTCGCACGCCTAAGTCAGTGTATAAAGTATATGTTACGATATAATCTATTCGTGTTCTAAATTTCATTTAAATCAGTGTTTTTTTTTTTTTTTTTTAATAACCCCATAATGTACTCTCTTGGAAAAACCTCAACAGGAAGCTTATTCCATAACCTGAGTATTTTTTTTTCATCATTTAGACTGTAAGGTATGGGGATGAACTCTCTGCCAATGGCGAGCTGTACAACAAAGTTTCTTATTTATAATATTAATATAATTTAACTACTACATAACAATACTCGTTCACTAAATTATTACCTATCCTATATATAATTAAAACCGAGACCAGATAGTACAACTCCTTGAGAGGGCTGTGTAATTGTTAAAGAAGTAAAGTAACATATATTACAATAAATTCAAGATTCTAATGTAAATTGTTGAAGTAAGATGTCTATACATATAATAAGCATACATCATTAAGGTCCACAGTACCGTAAAATAATTATTATGAAATGTATAGGTAGCTACGAGTATTTATAATGTTCTCATTCACTTTGTCTGTCGCAAAACAGCATAAAACGTATAGGATGACTTTATGATCTGAAAAGAAAAAATATATTCAAATAATGTTTTCATCTCAGAACAGAAAAAAAAAATTAATCCATTGTTAAGTTGCTGTGTCCAATAAACGAACTATATATTACTGCTCAAAAAACAAGCGAATTCAGTTGGGAATACACCTGTAGACGAAAATAACGACATATTCGTACATCGGTTAAATTAAAATTCTAAATGTTTCTTCATTCTCCACAGTACTGTATGAACAAACTATTCACTTAAGCAAGTTTATGTATTGTGGAGACAGATGGTTGAACTAGGAAAACCTGTGCTACAGCCACCAGGCCAATCGATACGTTGTAAATGTGACGTGTATACAAAATTATAGATTTTAAGCAACCGCCTCTGAGTAATTCATATCAATAGCAAAATGAACAGTGTAGTTGCAAAAAATCACACGAATTGAGAACTTCGTTCTCGGGAAGAGACGGGAATTAACACGATTATTTATATAAACTGTGACAATTTACCAGAGTTTCTGTTTAATTCCCGTGTCTTTTATGAACCGTGCAACGCGAAAATCTACAAGTTGTTATAGTGTGGACCGTAAAGTGATAGTGCAAGATCGGTACGAGTATACCGTGAGGAATGTTTCAAGCGAGAGCGGTATGATGCGGCCGGCGACGGGGCGCAGCGGCTGCTTGGCGCGCTCCATGAACACGAGCAGCGAGCGCTGGAAGCGCAGCGGCGTGCCCAGCCACTGCATCGCGTACAGCGACTCCACCATGCGGTCGCTCTGCCGCGCGCACACCGCCACCACACGTTAACACTCCACTCCACTTCTACTTCAATGGAACTAGTTACGAGTATAATACACCACACACACGCACGCACACACACACACACACACACACACACACACGCGCGCGCGCGCGCGCACGCGCACGCACATGCACACGCACACACACACACACACAGACTGCAATATCATCATCATCATGTCAGTCGTTAGCTGCCCACTACTAAATGTAGGCCTCCAATAATACGAGTACCTATATAAATATAGTAAATATTTATTGGGCATTTTACACAACGCCATCTAGTCCCAGACTAAGCAGAACTTGTAAGTAGGCATAAGACAACTTATAATTGCTAACAAGTCGTTAAAGAGTGATTAACTCTATCTTTTGTTCAAGTGCAATAAAGATTTTTTTTTCTTATTTCATATATTTATTGCATTGTTCATTACGTGGATATAATTATTCTTCATTTTATGCTTTGGCTCATTTCAAACACACACACATACATACATATGGTCCGCTATTATCAACCACGTATGTAATACTTTTTTTTTATATATATATAAGAATACTGTTAATGGACCTCGACTTTCACTTCGTTCCCGTAGTAGCAAAACAGCAGCAGCTCGATGAAGATGCACATGATGAACAGCGTTATGGAAGCAAACTCGATGCTCAGCACGTTCAGCTGCAAGCACAATACAGCCCTCATATTATTTCACGGGCAGATTACTTCATTTAGGTTTCGAATCCCCAGATAAACTATAAGCATAACTCTGTCCATCGCTCGCTTAGCTACTTTAAATCTGTTGACTAGTATTGTAAATGTCCGCGGTGCGGCATTGTATGTCATGATAAGTAGGTACGAGTACCACTGTATGTACACTTTAGGCCTTGTGCTATTGACGACGAAAATACTTGAAAGTTTTTTTTTTTTTTTTTTTTTTTTTTTTCATCAACCGCACAGCCCAGCTGTATTCGCCTCTTGGCTTCTCCCTCTAAATTGTTCATCCCTGGCTGGAGCGAGCGTTCACACTACTCGTACATGATGCTCAGCTATTATTTTCGCGTCGTATTTGTTGTAATTATAATCTATTCAGTATGTTGTCGTTCAAACAGCAATCTATAATTTCCTACAGAGAAGGCACAACAGAGACTCACTTACGACCTTAACTGGCATATATGTACATATTTACTTACGCTTACAAGCTTATAGGCAGCCATACATAAAGTCCATCCACCAATAGCAAACTGTATCAGTATTACTGTACCAAAAATATCTTGCAATATCTTACTTGTGCTAAAATAAAATTATATTCAACTTTAATAACAGTATTGCTAGCTTTAAATTGATGTATTTTTTTTTTTTTTTTTTTTTTTTTTTTTTTTAAAATAAACGTACCTGGTTATTTTCTTGTAATGCGTTAAGCACTCTATAAATAATTTCCAAAGAACTGCCTCATATTTTTGGTTCGGTTCTTTCTTAACAATAGCACGTGCTCTGTCAGGTAATATCTCTATGTTCATTCTATAAATAATTGAAAGTTAATTATTGTTATTATTTTACTTTATTTATTTATTTTAATTCAAATAACTAATTGAATGATAAGACAATAGGAAAATAATGTGGAACAGGAGACTTACCGCAGTATTTTCAACTGTGTTTGACACTGATAAAGGATGGTCGCTATGAAAGCGTCCATGGTTGTGTTCGCTATGCCTTCCAGCGAAGTCGCGTAATACGAGTACAACAGCACCAGAAGGAACCTGCAATAGCTCTCAACTCAACTCGATCGACAGTGAAATATACATATAGGTGGAAGCAACAACACAAAACTGAGCCACCTCACAATCAATCAATCCCAATTTATAAAACTAAATGCACAAGCTGTTCCATATATTATTTAGCAAACTTTTTATTTTATCCGAGCAGTAAGTACTTTATAATATTCTCAATATCGTGTATAATAGTATATTTTATATATGTGTAAGTATATTTGTTAATTATATATATTTATTAATTTATACATGTAATTTTAGTATGTATGTATATCAATAATTACTAGCACCGCACTCGAGTATTCTGACATTTGCCTATGGTTGACTGGGAGAATCTTTTTTTTTTTTTTTTTTTTTTTTTTTTTTATTTTTTTTTTAACATTAAATCCGCCATGTACACATATATGTACTAATGAATGAACATATAAGATTGTGTTTAAACACTTAATGATTACTGACTTGTATTATAAACTTGTTTGCCACTCATAGGACGCCCTGTTTTTATGTTAAATATTTGTTACCTTATTCTGGAGTGATTGTAATCTATTCCGGCCCAGAAGGGAAAATCTACCGGCCGTCCGTTAGCATATTCCAAGATCGGGAACACGATCCACAGCGTGCAGGTGATGAAGGCGGTGCCGGTGTAGACGCGCACCAGCCGCGCGGCGCGTACGCACGTCGTCGACAGCAGCTGCGCCTGCTTCTCCGACACCTCGTTATACAAACGATCTGGAACATTACCACATTATTGTTATCTACCTTTTAATATACATATACACTTGTACTTCATGCTACTGTATTTTAGTTGAATTATTTATATGTCATTGTTTATTTTATTTTTTTTTTATTTATATATATATATATATATATATATATATTGTGTAATAAAAAGTTAAATAAATAATATACCGCAGTTTTGTTTTAATGATTGTTCGATCATTAAATTCCCTTTGTCGCCTCTTACGACACTCACAGGGAAAGGAAAGGGTGGCCCATTCCATGCCGGGACCACATGGCAACTATTGAACGGGCATTTCACGAGCCCGACAGTTCACGACAGAGTACTCATTATCTACCTAGAACATTCCTGAGATTGTACTTCGATTTATAAGTAATCATGCATTCCGAGTCGATTCAAATAATTGTAAATAAATCAATAAAATAATAATAAACCGCACACCGTCAAGTCCCGTGATCATCTCGTCGATGCGCTCTGCGTCCACATGAAACACTATTTGTTTCGTGATAGATGTCACGTGGCACAGCAACAAGAACATCACCCGCGCCAACTTGTCCATGTCAGTTTGCTCCTGTGCGTGAAGTATGCAGGTGCATTATATACTTGACATCGATATGTAGGCCACCGTGTGCTATCCGGGGGAAAATGGATTATACTACAACCCTAGTACTAATAATATACCCTATCAGGTCAACCTTCTCGCGGTTCCCCTTGGAAACCATAGTGATCGATTCATTGTTGAATTTGTGACGATGGGCTGACTGACCTGCATCATCTTCACTTATCATTCCTCACTGGTGCCCTGCCAGTGTATAACGATAGCGTAGGCGGGGTTACCATTCCATTATCATCCATTAATTAAAAACAAAACCTGTGATATCCAAAATAAGAATCGTCAAATGTAAGTTGAACTCACTCGCCAAGTGACTCTTAAAACGTTTTTTTTTTTTTTTTTTTTTTTTTTTGTTTTCCTTAGATTAAGGAATATTTGAATAAATTGAGTACTCGCCATTGCTTCTAAACATACATCGAAACATCAAGAAAAAAAAAATCAATAAAAATGAGAAAAAAAAACCATATCAATTATTTCTATTGCAAAATGTGTGAGCTAATATATATATATATATTTTTTTTTTTTTTTTTTTTTTTTTTTTTTTTTTTTTTTTTTCCTAAACTTAAAAATGGCTAATGCCTACCCTAAAAAGACGAAGCCAAAAGAAGAAAAAATCAACCTTAACAGTACCTGAACTAGTATACACTCGTATGAATCGAGTGTTGGTAGTGTGATTGCGTGAATGCAATATAACAATATTGTTAACCATCATATTTTATTTGTTTATAATTACCTGATATGCGTAAACGCATTGCTGCAGCAAATACGCAGTCATAAGGGCGAGGGCAAAGTATCGGTACGCGTGATGCAGCCAGCGCAGCAGTGGCGGGTACCCGTCGCCGCCCGCCAGCCGACAGTATCCGCAGCAGCGCAGGAAGCGCAGGTGCAGCGCCACGCAGCTGCCCGCCAAAGACCTGCTCGGCGGAAGCAACAACCAAATATCAGAATTCGTAAGAGTCGGTCAAAACACCTATGTACTCAACTATTAAAACAGCAAAAGAAGCAGCAGTGTTTAAAGTCATCTGTAACTAATTTTAAACATAATGGAACATTACGGCAGTAAAAGTCCCATTTTTTTTTTTTTTTTTTTTTTTTTTTTTTTTTTTTTTTTTTTTATGTCCTAGATATAAAATAAAGTAATTACATAGTTAGAATCTGCTGCCACGAGTGACAACCGATAGGGTATTTGTGAAATAACCAGATCATTACTCATGTATGAATACTACATTGGTCGTTTCAATTATAATGTACACGTAATTATAATGTACCGTGACGGCGATGAAACAGTTGCCTGTTTAAATCTTAATAAGCACCTATTAAGCGAGGCGATTATTAAGTTGTTTCGTATGTACAAGATATTCACGATACATTTGACCTGCCAGAATTCCAGTACTGCGCAGTACAACGTACCTCCATATAACATACTAGCCACCCGCCCCGGCTTCGCACGGGTGCAACATTTGTTTGTGTAAAGTTTAAACTATTCAACATATTTTAGTTAAGTTGGAATTTTCTTTTACGTCTAGTTTAGTGTTTGCATCTAGTTTATGTTCTAATTTTCTTGTTGTTGTTCAATATGCTTGAATATCATTTCAATTAGAAGCACTTATGTATTGTTAACTACCTTAAACAAAAAAAAAAAAAAAAATAACAATAAAATAAAAAAAAAAAAAAACAAATATGGTAAAATTTAATATTTAGCTTACATGGATGATATTTTCACCATATTTTGAAAACAAAGCATAACTTAATAACTACAGACCTAGGACTGTAATTTTTAGGATTTTTGTTAGATAATAGGTCTCACTACCCCCCATTACCCGTTGATCCACTACTTACGGGACACCCTGTATAAAAATCGAATTATGAATGTAATAATAAATCATTATTTATAATAATTAGGCAAAGAGATAAGTTTAGAGAGAAATGGCGTCTCAGAATTGGCCCCGACGACAAATATGAGTATTAGTAACAGTTATAAACAATATGTAACATCTGATTTATAAATCACTAGTACGTACTAATTACAAGCCGAGAAAGGGCCGGCTCTTGAATAATTGATCGATGGGAGTGACTTAGAAAATGTTCTAGTACTATAATTAAACCCTATATCTCGGTGTCTGTTTGCATTGAGATATGTATTTGATTTACGGCTGTTTTGCTAATATATATATATATATATATATATATATATATATATATATATATATATATATATATTTCTCTTCGTTTCCATCGTCTTTGTTAATTTCATTCATCTCGTGCCGAAACTGGAACTCGTGCCTGTTGCGGTTGTGTTTCACGCAAGTGCACCGTGCTCGCACGCACATCTGCATAGCTTTGTTGAATTTGTTCATCTGATCTTTGTGCTCTTCTATCTTACATAACTCTAGATTTGATTGTTCGACGACTCAAATTTGACTCTTTGCCTCTTGCTGGCATTGTTGACTGTACTAATATACTGACTGTATGTATTTCTTTGCTTTTTATTTGACTTATCTTTCACATTAATAAAACACGTATGTTTCTGTTTTTTTTTTTTTTTTTTTTTTCATAATATGTTAAGCATCATATACTCGTATACAGGTAATGGTTCTGGTTTTCGGCGTGGTTACGGTACGGCAACTGCTTCGGCTCAAGTAACAGATGATATAATAGCCCCGTCTGATTTAGGAGAGAACATATTATTGATATTGCTCGATTTCTCAAGAACATTCGATTCTATAAACATTGATCTTTTATTGGCAAAAATAGTGTATGTATTATGGCATATCAGTTGAAACAAGAAAATGGTTTGCATCTTTTCTAATAGATCGTCAGCAGTACGTTGTAATAGAAGGGGAGCAGAAAGAAATACAGTCGGAAACGGTAAGAGAGATAGGGCACAAAATCGCTCATAAATGGTAAAGGACCTCCACCTCCAAAAGTTCGCAGCCAAACAACGCTGTTTTAATAGCGTTGTGTTCATGCGGTGAGTAAAGTTTCCACTTCAACCTTGGAGAGGGGTTGTGCCGATATTAGAGGGACCAGCGTGTTTTAATATTGTCTTCGTGTTGGGCAGGCGCGAGGTGCCGACGCGGCGATTAGGGAGACCCGGAGAAACAGTTGCTCAATGCTGCCCGCAGGTTGTTGGGTTTCCGAACCCGGGGATTACTTAATCTCCGCCCTCGGAGGCTGAACCGCCGCCTGTGCATAATCCCTGGTGTAGAGGTCGTGCCGGAGGAGGAGACCGGAGAGGACCCCGCTACAGCATCAGTGGAGGGACCAGGGGCCCTTTCGACCGCCGTGTTGGTAATTTGCACAACCTGTTTAGCGCGGGGACGGAGTGGAGACCACTTTGTTCCTTTGATAACAGAACTTAACTATTACTTTATAGCAAGTTAGAGTATATATACATATATATATATATATATATATATATATATATATATATATATATATATATATATATATATATATATATATATATATATATATATATATACGACACACAGCGGCACCCTCATCCACATTTAAATTGAACTTCTGCAATATCAGAGGGATTCATTCTAATATCAACGCAATTCACCACCATCTCGAAACTGCAGAGCCGACTCTGTTATTCCTCACCGAGACGCAGATCTCATGTCCGAATGATTGCTATACCCCGGTTACAAACTTGAGCATAAATGAGCTTGTCATACCGAGATTTGTATGTATATCCGGATCGACATCTGTTATCACCGTCTCCATGGCCTTGAAGACAGGGACCAGTCGGTATTATGGACACGTGTAGATTACGGGAGCCATACTTGTATTTACGCGTGTCTTTACAGGTCTCACAGCGGTACTTTGGACAATTTTTTTTTTTTTTTTTTTTTTTTTTTTTTTTTTTTTTCCAAAGATGACGTCGCGTTACTGTCGTGCTAAAACATCAAGAATGTGGGGGCCTCTGCCCCCGATGTGTCGGCGGGCGCGTCGGCAGGCACCGAAGCGCTGGTACGCCCGGACCGTTCCGTTCCGTTCCGTTCCGTTCCGTTCCGTTCCGTTCCGTTCCGTTCCGTTCCGTTCCGTTCCGTTCCGTTCCGTTCCGTTCCGTTCCGTTCCGTTCCGTTCCGTTCCGTTCCGTTCCGTTCCGTTCCGTTCCGTTCCGTTCCGTTCCGTTCCGTTCCGTTCCGTTCCGTTCCGTTCCGTTCCGTTCCGTTCCGTTCCGTTCCGTTCCGTTCCGTTCCGTTCCGTTCCGTTCCGTTCCGTTCCGTTCCGTTCCGTTCCGTTCCGTTCCGTTCCGTTCCGTTCCGTTCCGTTCCGTTCCGTTCCGTTCCGTTCCGTTCCGTTCCGTTCCGTTCCGTTCCGTTCCGTTCCGTTCCGTTCCGTTCCGTTCCGTTCCGTTCCGTTCCGTTCCGTTCCGTTCCGTTCCGTTCCGTTCCGTTCCGTTCCGTTCCGTTCCGTTCCGTTCCGTTCCGTTCCGTTCCGTTCCGTTCCGTTCCGTTCCGTTCCGTTCCGTTCCGTTCCGTTCCGTTCCGTTCCGTTCCGTTCCGTTCCGTTCCGTTCCGTTCCGTTCCGTTCCGTTCCGTTCCGTTCCGTTCCGTTCCGTTCCGTTCCGTTCCGTTCCGTTCCGTTCCGTTCCGTTCCGTTCCGTTCCGTTCCGTTCCGTTCCGTTCCGTTCCGTTCCGTTCCGTTCCGTTCCGGTCCGTTCCGTTCCGTTCCGTTCCGTTCCGTTCCGTTCCGTTCCGTTCCGTTCCGTTCCGTTCCGTTCCGTTCCGTTCCGTTCCGTTCCGTTCCGTTCCGTTCCGTTCCGTTCCGTTCCGTTCCGTTCCGTTCCGTTCCGTTCCGTTCCGTTCCGTTCCGTTCCGTTCCGTTCCGTTCCGTTCCGTTCCGTTCCGTTCCGTTCCGTTCCGTTCCGTTCCGTTCCGTTCCGTTCCGTTCCGTTCCGTTCCGTTCCGTTCCGTTCCGTTCCGTTCCGTTCCGTTCCGTTCCGTTCCGTTCCGTTCCGTTCCGTTCCGTTCCGTTCCGTTCCGTTCCGTTCCGTTCCGTTCCGTTCCGTTCCGTTCCGTTCCGTTCCGTTCCGTTCCGTTCCGTTCCGTTCCGTTCCGTTCCGTTCCGTTCCGTTCCGTTCCGTTCCGTTCCGTTCCGTTCCGTTCCGTTCTAGTTCTATTCCTATTCAGTTTCGTTCAGTTCCGTTCTAGTTCGTATCGTTCAGAATATTGAATATAATTAAATATATTCAATATTCTGAGCAAGATACGGTCTTCCAACATTAGTACTATCGATGGCCACTAGATGTCGCCACTGAAATTTAAAAGTAACAAAACTGGCCACAAGATGTCGCATATAAAGTAATAGTGCAACCAACAACCACAAGATGTCGCCTGTGAAAGTTTACAAGTCGCTATAATTTTTCCTATGATTCTGTTTGGATATTTGATTGAAAACTAATGTAACCTCCGGTTAGGTTTAGGTTAGGTTAGGTTAGGTTAGGTTAGGTTAGGTTAGGTTAGGTTAGGTTAGGTTAGGTTAGGTTAGGTTAGGTTAGGTTAGGTTAGGTTAGGTTAGGTTAGGTTAGGTTAGGTTAGGTTAGGTTAGGTTAGGTTAGGTTAGGTTAGGTTAGGTTAGGTTAGGTTAGGTTAGGTTAGGTTAGGTTAGGTTAGGTTAGGTTAGGTTAGGTTAGGTTAGGTTAGGTTAGGTTAGGTTAGGTTGGGGTGCTGGGTCGGAAAACCTCCAAGAGTGCCCTGGCTCATTGTACGGTCACTTGTCCTGGTGCGGATACGTCCGGCGGGAACGGTGGCTGACAATGGCTGGGGCCTGGTGCATCCTGGGCAACGGCGGTAAGTGACTTCTCGCTATTTAGAGATCTCACTTACCGACGGCTAATCTTCCGACGCCGCGGGTGGGACGAGTTCGTGACGCACTATTTGTGTTGCGGATTTGCCTGACTCGCTCTTCGTTTTCTTTCGTCTTCCTTTTGTTATTCTTCGTTTTTGTTTTGTTTGTTTTATTTTTGTTTTGAGTCTTTACTGTCGTCTTTTCTGTCTTCTGTTTTCTTTCTGTCGTTTTGTTTTTTCTATCATTTTTCGTTTTCAATTTCCTTTCGCCTTTCACGGGACCTCCCCCGTTAAAAAAAGGAAAACATGAGAATGGCCAGTCGCAAAACTGAATTCCCCAGGGCGGTACCGTCGGGAGACGGAGAATCCGCCACCACCGCACCGGTTCAGCCGGGGGTGGTCAGCCCCGTGTATCTGGGGGGGGGCAACGGAAGGCCAGAGGGGAGTAGGAGAAGATGTTGTTG